TCTAGATGTGTATAAGAGACAGTCTCTTCCCTGCCCCTCCCCCCTCCCCTCCTCTCTCTCTCCCCAACAGTTGACCAAGATCAATCGATCTAGATCGTCATCTGTGCGCTCCCCGCCGTCCCCCCCCCTCCCTTCTCTCTCTCGCTCTCGCTCTCTTTCCTTCTGAATATAGCGTTCGGTCGATGTGGCATCGATCGATAGCTTTCTTCTTTTGTTTTTTTTCGTGTTTGTGTGTGTGTGTGTGTGTGTGCGCCTGTGAGTAGACGTCATTTAAGAAAGGCAATGGATAACGCCGTTATGAGGCCTCTCCGGATTCGACTTTGTCACTTCGCCCACTACCGTCTTCCCCCAAACACAACGCACCCTTATTTTGGCTGTATCTGGCCGAAAATATAGCTTGTATACTTTCATTTTTAGGGTGCATTATGTTTGGGGGAAGATGGTAGACCTGCATAACTTTCAAATGCCGTATCTTTCTTCTTCAACGGAATTGCGGCAACTCAAATCCGTCCCTCCAGAGGGGGAAAAAGGAAAACGGAAAACAAAAAAAGCAATCATGGATGACTGATGGCCCATGAGAAGCACCAAAACAGTGGAAGCGCAGCAACATACGAGACCAACCTTTCTCCACTACCCCCTGTAATCCACCTTCTTTCTGTAAACCCCTCTGTAAACCCCTCTGTAAACCCTTCTGTAAACCACCCCTCCTCCTCTTACTCATCCCCCCTATCACCTTACTTTTCTCACCCACCTCTCCTGACTCTATCCAACCCCTCTCATCCGTTTTGCTGAAACAATGTAGATGCTCCTCTGCATGCCACTCTCCCAAACCGATAAGAAGAAAAAAGTAATGACATGACAGAGGAAGGGTGGGGATATCAGTGTATGAGAGAGCTACAGGCTGCTGATGTTGCTGCTGCAGCAAAGAGATGATTCTTGTTCAGTCTGATGAATTTGTTCAGTCAAATGAATGAATGAATGAATGAATGAATGAATGAATGAATGAATGAATGAATGAATGAAATGAATGAATGAATGAATGAATGAATGAATGAATGAATGAATGAATGAATGAATGAATGAATGAATGAATGAATGATGAAGTGTCTGTTCTGTGATGTGGATTAGGTTTCAGTCAAATGAACCCTGGAGAAATGTGATGGCCAAGCTTCGATTGCGATGGATGTCAAGCAGGCTGAAGAGGAGATTGACATGAAGGCGGCCGTGCTGCCCATATGACTTTAAGTCCAATTAGTCGGATGGGAATGTCAAGCAGGCTGAAGAGGAGATTGACATGAAGAGGATCCCAGATTGACGAATGGGAATGTTGCAACAGTACGAGCAAGAGGAGAGAGGATGATAAATTGATAAGACATTACCTCGGTGCAAACCTTGGAATCTAGAAATCAATAATATCGTTCGTGGAGCGCAATCTATATGCCTGAATGCGCATGTTTGCCCGCAACGAAGATAGACAGCGGGTCGCGGGACGGGTGCTGATGGTTGGGGTTCGTGACCTGAAGCAGCGGAAAAACACTGGGAGAGAGAGTGGTGCTTTAACAGAAGCAGGATAAGCGCAGTGGGTGCCTATGTATGGACACGTACTTGTGCATGACCTGTCTCTTATACACATCTAGATGTGTATAAGAGACAGGAGGAGAGGAGAGGAGAGGAGAAGGAAAGGAAAAGGAAGGAGAGGAAAAGAGAAGAGAAGAGAGGAGAAGAGAGGAGAGGAGAGGAGAGGAGAGGAGAGGAGAGGAGAGGAGAGGAGCGGAGAGGACAGAGAAGATAGGAGCAGAGCGGAGAGAGAAGAGGAGCGGAGCGGAGAGAGAAGAGATGAGAGGAGCGGAGCGAAAAGAGAAGGGGAGTGGAGCGGAGAGAGAAGAGAGGAGAGGAGCGGAGAGGAGCTGAGAGAGAAGAGACAGAGGGAACTGAAGGGAGGCAGGAGGATGTTTGCTAACTGAATGTCCAAGAGAGGAACCAAAATAGCAGCGATAGGAGAGAGAGAGAGAGAGAGAGAGAGAGAGAGAGAGAGAGAGAGAGAGAGAGAGAGAGAGAGAGAGAGAGAGAGAGAGAGAGAGAGAAGATGGCTATGGCAGGGCTACAGAAGCCAACAGAGCCTTATACCTACTCGGCAGCACCTCGGCCAGTGAACCATCGGAAGTTCGGCAAGTTCAGTGAACCAGCGTATCTTTATTCTGGTCCAATGAACATAATGTATGATCCACGTGTGATCCGAGGGAACACATACGCATTGCAGGTGGGTGGGCAAGTTACAGGTGCCCTTCTCTCTCTCTCTCTCTCTCTCTCTCTCTCTCTCTCTCTCTCTCTCTCTCTCTCTCTCTCTCTCTCTCTCTCTCTCTCTCTCTCTCTC